GTGTGAAAAATTAAAAGTGTAAATAGGGATCAAAATGTATAATTGATAATGTGAAATAGGAAGAAAAGGTCTAAAGGAGTAGGGGAAGTGGGAGGGGGAGGGGAAAGGAAAGAAGGGAAAAGAAAAAATATGAGAAAAGGAAAAAATGTAAACAAAATCTTCATAAATAGGGAAGGGTAATGGGGAAAAAATAAGAGCAAAGATACATCATGTACAGGTACAAGATGCCAAAGATGAATGTTACTGTATTGCATACCTAAAATGTACCAATAAACTTAATGAAAGAAAAAACCCTATTTCTGATCCTTCACTTACATGTAACAGAAAACCAAAGGAGTTTTTTTGATAGGACAGTATATCCATGGCATAACACCAAGTGAGTGTTTGATAGCAGGATTTTCCTAACACCTCATTTACATGAAAGTGATAACCCTGAAATTTTGGATACAAAAGACCTTTTTCCCCTATCCTTGGCCTCTGCAAACTTTTCCCTGCCTACTTTCACTCTGCACAACATAATTCTTTTCTGCCTTCAGTGAATGTATAGTGTCACTGCCTTTTCCATGGGTCTTGTCCAATTCTTCCTTCAGGACAACAAGAACCTGGAAAGAAGGCCCACGGCTCTCTCCATTCAGTAACAGTTGTGGCTAAGAGTTTTGAGGTTGAAGACAGATGGATTGATTGTGCATCCTAACTCCCCAATTTTGAGCTATCTGACCTTGAACTACTTACATAGACTCTATACCTCAACTGCCTGTGCTCTAGGCACTTTCCTGTGGATTAAGTGAGATAAGGTACAAAGTACTTGTGGCAATGCCCAGTTCTTAGTAAGATCTCCATGAAATCTGTGTAAAGTCATTCCACATGATTGTGCATGGTCATATTAGGAGAAAAGCACCTTAACCTTCAGGCTCTCCTATGAGACTGATTTCTTTCTCTGATCTGCAAGCCATAAAACGCCCAATGCCTTGGGTTTTAAGGAAAGAATAATTCAGGTAGGGAACTTACTAATTTACTGTATAGGTCAACATCTGAGCATGAAATGGATGATCAACATGAGAAAATAAATATACTCATTTTTAAAACTCACATGCACAGTTGTTTTTTCAAAAATCAACTTCTAGGTTTGAGAAACCAATTCCCATTTTCACATGCTGAGTCGACCTGAGTAAGAACATCAGATCTTCAAACTATTATTCTCCAATTGGGTGATGTTTGGGAAGTCTTCACACATCCTTCAGCCTATGTTTTTTCATCTACAATGTGGAAACAATGATCTGGACCTCACGTATTGCTGAGTATAAAATGAGGTAATACTTGCTGGATGCTCATAAATATGATACAGTAAGCATTCAGATAATAGTCAATAGAAACTTCATTACTGGCACAGTTACATAAAATAATAAAACACAGTCCTTATCATAAGACAATAGTACCCACATGGATTTTATTGTTTTTGTAGTGCCGAGGATCAAACCCCGGACCTTGCAGATACTGGGCAAGTACTCTACGGAGCTACACTCCCAGCCTCCTGCCTGAGTCCGAGACCCACAAGTTGTAAGGTACATGCTGTGGGCTAATGTTTTCATTATGCTGATGGGCCCTACTGACCACCCAAGCAGTTTTTCTCCATTAATGCCAAACTATTATTTTTGAGCCATTGAGATGGGATGCATTTGCAAAACATGGATTTTCCCTCCCTCTTTGAAGCTATATGCTTCCATGAGATTGTGTCCACAATGTGGTTTCCTATTAGTGCCAAATTCTATCCAACTAAGCTGACTGCCCCAGGCTTGGTTAAGCAATTATTACGGCAGTGTTGCCCAGCATCTCTAAAGACCTAATGATTTCACAAAAGTAGCATTAAGTTTGCAAAGAAAATGTCCTCTTAGCCTTCAGGGAGCTGATTTGGACAATTGGTGTCATTGGCTAACCCAACATCTGAGGTGAATCAAAGGCTTTTCTCTTTCACTTGTATCATGGAGATAAACCTGAAACTAAAAATCATGCTTGAAGCTGAAGGGAAAATGAAGCTTTCCTTTTCTGGATTAAAATAGAACCTTTCCTCCCCTACCTGCAATTCTAATTTCTCATTCCATTACTATCAAGGCAGAAGACATTAAGCATTGCTTCTTTTAATCCTTTGTTTCATCTTTATTTTTAAAACAATCAATTTTGCCTAGGCTAACATGTTTATAGTGTTTCTTCTTGCAGGTTTCTGATTATAGCCACTACCCCAGTCTGTCCCGGTTTTCTAAGCCGATTTTTCTGAGCTGTGGAGATCCCTGCTGGGTGGTTCACAGTTCATCTGCTTTCATTCTCTCATGCCACAGCCCTGGAGCCATCTTGGCTGCATCTGATGGCAACTGTGGGCACTTCGTGAACAAGTCAATATTGCCACCCTTCATCCCTGAGGCTCCAGGGGGAGTACATAGTCCTGTTTCAGCTCACTCAGCAGTGGTGGAACTAAGACCAGAACCATTCTCTGTGTTGTCACCATGCAGACAAGTGCCTTTGATCCTCTATAAATCAGAAACAAAATTAAAGAA